AGCGATGCCCTTTGTTACTAGTAGTTTCTTGTTCCTAGTAGTAAGGCCAGGATGCGTCCCAGGCCCGACAGCAACCAGTCCTGCATCACTAGAAGCTTCACTGGGAATCGTTTCACCTGTAATAACAAGAAGCCACTAGGAGGTCTTTGAAGCTACTAGCAGGATCTCAGAATCACACGCGCCCCAGGCCCGAAAGCTATCATGACCAGTCCTCCATCATTCAGTTCCAGGCGCTTCGCAAAACCGCGCATGGCCAGCGGCCCAGGGCGCTGGGTCGGGGAGTATGAGGGGGTCCTCACCAGCTACCCTATACACATACAGAAGGTACGACTGGACCAGACCATGGCACCTACACAACAGTGTCGAACACATCACCTGAGAAGGTACGACTGGATCGCTAAGGGCTACAGATTCCAGCACCTTGGAAGGGTTTCGCGACGTGGCCGCCGTCACCTTCACGAGCACCGTCACGAGTGGTGAGGATGTTTTTGCGCCTCGGTGAGAGCGCCCTTCGTGTGGGCATCGGTAAAGGGTACTAAGAGACCACAAGGTCAAATGAAAGTGCAGAGCGCGCACTAAATGCAGAGCGCCAAAACCTGGCAGCCCAACGGGTCCATCGGGGAACCCGGCCGCAAGCGGGTTGACCGCCCTGTCCGGCTTTGACCCGCCCGTTCGCGAGCGGCGAGCGGGTCAACCCGGGCGCTTGAGCCGGGTCAACCGGAGTGGTCGACAGGTCGACCTTTTTCAGAACTGACTGGTCTTGGGAGATGCATTGTTGGCTGCATGTTGCCGGTTTTTGAGGGTGTTGGCGTTTTGGGCGAACATGTGTTGGGGGGTACCTAATGGTGCCTGGCTGGAGTGCCTTCTCGGGTTCAAGTCAACCAGGCGGTCATTCCGCGCACGGGTCATTCTGCGTAGGCGGATCCCCCTCACACCCCTTTTCCCTACCTGGTGCCCCTGAAGAGTGATAATTATCACTCCGTTTTGTAATTATCAATCTTTTGGAAAGTGGTGTGACAAAAAGCACTCCGGAGTGCAAAAAAGTCAGTCCAACCGTAATTGCGTTCAGATTGCGTTCGCAGTGCATTTAGTTTGCGTTCAAGATACGTTGAGCAACAAAAACCATTCTGGAGCAACTATTCTCACCCCGGACGGAGTGATAATTATCACTCTTCAGGGGTACCAGGTATGGTTAAATCCCCTTCTTGGGAATATTTGTTGTTTTTCAAGGTTCCTGTATGGCAAATCCAAGCCAGTGGATTGGAAGCGACGGCCACGGCAGGGCTTCACTCGCAATGATCCTTGTGCCACCGAGATCAATACAGGCAACTGTGTGGGCAATCAAGCCTGCAAGGATTGCAGGCGAGACCACGAACCGGAGGAGGGATGGAAATGCGTGGTACACACATCCTGCAGGAAGACCATGAACGAACTAATGTAGCCCCCTGCCTGCCTTTTGGTGTGTTGTAGGTGTTTACAAACCTATTGCAAACAATATACCGTTCCATCATCTCGACTTTGTTTGTAACTCTCGGTTTCCATCCGGAAATCAATCAGACAACATTGCATGTCGACCATTATTTTGGAAGGAACCGTTTTCGTTTTCGAATGACCTTCCACACAAGCTACACCAATTACAGAATTGTTGCACTCTATAGATCTACTCTATAGTATGCATAGTCGAAACAGTTTTGCTGTGTGTTCCCTGTATCCACAATGTCGTGAACCAATATTTCCATGCGAGCTGAAATGAACATGGACATGGGCCTGCGTACGTATGGGTAGTGTGGGCGCGAGGGCGGGCGCACATGCAAGCATAGCTGGGAGTGTGTTTGTGTGTGTGGATGTACACTGGTGTATGTGGTGGTGTATGTGCCAAGCAGAAGCATGCATAACTTTAAATGTTTTTTTCGCCGGGTTAAGCAGAAGCATGATTTATTTTTGGTTCGAAAGGTCCTGTCCAAAGTGTCAGAATCACAGATGGCTCGCAAACTTCAAGTGGTGTGCAAGTCTTAAGCAGGCAGTGTGGACTTCAAGATATCTGGTCACATACTAATACATTTACACATGTACACCGGCATTCGGGTTTGGGGTTTAGGGTTTGCACGCTTGTTTGCGAATATGAATCGTTTTGTTGAACCATCACGAGTAAACGTGTTTTTGAAACTTACATACACGTCTAAGAAACTTGAAAACACCAATGGATTTCAACTCTTTTTCATTGTTGTGTACACAGAATAGAAGTGACCACTCAAAGCCCGGGGAAGAGTGGCAGACAGCCTGATGGGACAATACCACTGAGTTGTGTGGCAGTCTTGGCAGCCCAATAATACTTTCACTGTCTAGAACTGAGTAAGTCGAGCTTTGCGGAAATACAACAGCATTCCGACGGAAGAAAAAGGGGCAGAGTGCGAACAGCACATGACTCTCTTAAAATCTCTTAATTAAGGAGATACAGTCATAGAATGTCATAGATATAAAGTCAAAACAACAATATAGTAATTAGTATAACTGCATTGCTCGGGAACTTTTCAATCGAAAAAGAAACATTTGCTTGACTTCCATAAGGTAGGTTTGCCACCCTCCCCTCAATGTTCATGTTTGTTGTAGTTGGTTTTCAGCTTGACATCCAAAAACACAAAAGGAAAGCAATAAAAGCTTCGTCACCCGATTTGGCCACGGCTGTGGAGCGAAAAGCAGCCGTGAACTCGTGGCTGACACCACGAACTGTCGGGTTATTCAATGGAAGAAGGAAAATCGGCCAAAAGCCATTTGGCTAGAGACCTCTCTATCTAAATTACACACGATCATGGAAGTGGATTGCACCGCCTGTTTGTAGAGATTTCAGGACTTTGTTCATGTCATCCACTTCCATGATGAGTTCAGGGAGCGTACCCTTGCTCTCAAACATGCCATAGCCCCGGCTCCTGCACCACTGACAACTACGGCGTGTTCATGAGAGTTTTTGTTTGACATGAACCTCTACAGCATGCATCAATGCTGCATACAACATAGAAGGAGTACCATGCTGATTAGTGTTTAGTAGCAAGGTATATATATATAGTCATAGTTAATCCGTTTTGCAATCCATTCTCTCATGCATGCAGCAGTGAGGAGTTTTAGTGCTTGAAAGGCAAGAGTCCGGTAAGAGCACCTCCAATATTGGCAAAGGCATCAAAAACCATGTTGTTGATATGTGCAGCATTTGAAGAGAGAGAGAGAGAGATAATGCCTGAATCAAAGCAGAATCATGTGGGAAGAGAATGTATCCAAAACACGTTACAGTACAATGTATGAAGAGGTCTCGGGGGGAGTACCTTCATGCAGAACTGTTGGTTGATACAGCAGGATCTCCAAAAA